TCGCGATTATATCCCAGGGTATGCAGAGATCGCCTACCCACTCACAGAACTCACGAAAAATAAACAACCGGAAAATACTCGAATGGAAAGAAATTCATGAGTCAACATTTCAACAACTGAAGGAACGATTAGCGATGTCAATGGAGTTAATCACCCCAACATTGCAGGATCAGTTTGTCATTCATTCTGATGCATTCCAAATCGGAATAGGTGCACGTTTGTCACAGAAAAGGGGAGAGAAGCAATTTCCCATCTGCTACGCGAGCAAGAAATTATCGAAACCTCAACAAAGCTGTCCGACTATAGAGCATGAAGCTTATGCTATAGTATGGGCATTGAAGAAGTTTGAACCTTGGATATTCGGTTCATCGGTGAAAATTGTGACTGATCATAATCCTCTAGCCTTTATAGTGAGAAATGCTCCGCAATCGTCCAAATTACAACGATGGGCCATAGCTTTGCAGAAATATAATCTCGAAATAGAACATTGCCCTGGAAAAAAACTGTCAAACGCGGATGCATTATCCAGACTTCCCACTTGTGAACTTTGAACATTAATTTACTGTTCATCTTCACGAACATTTTGTATAGTTAATAATTAGATAGTTTTCTTTTCTTTGCTTTTCATAATCATTTTACAATTTTGTGCAAATAAGATGTTTATGTAATTTGAAATAGATAGAGAAATTATTGGATAACAAATATTCGAGGTAAGTGGTAAATTTAGATATTTGTCTCCCAAGGATTTAAATCATGCTGCAGCATCATTAATTAAAAGGAATGTTAAGAATATAATTTTTATATATATATAAGAAACTTAATAATTTTACTGTCATCATTGGAATAATACTAGGGTATATTTTAACATGTTTATAAAAGAAAATATCAACTTGGTTTCTTTGAATTAAGAATTGATAAATTGTTACAATAATAATAAGGTTCGGAACAAGTGAAGTTAAAAATGATTTATCTATGTTTATATATAAAAATGTGTTATCTATGTTTATGTAGTAAATTGAGGTATGTCTATAGTAATTGAGATTTGAAAATTAGGAGAGAATGTATAAAAGTATATGTAGTTTTTCTTCTTTTTCACGTTGATCGCAAACAGTTGCTAGATTTTAGTTTCCAGATTGCTGATTGATTTGTAAATAATATCAACAACAATCTTACGACGGGGGTGTGATATCTGGCGACTGTTTGGCGATCAACAGAGCATGCTTGGCGCAGGTAAGCTCTTCTTCCGAGAAGGGTTAATGTATTTATTAGGAGTTGCATGTTAGCCTCGGAAGAGGAAGGTAGTAGATTGTACTATGCGGTAGGAGCGACGTATTGCTCTGAGTAACTATTATATTATGCTTTGAATTATATATTTAATAAATGTTTGTTTCGTCTTGCTAAATGGTGCCTTATTAAACCACGAAGTCATCACACCAAGTAAGAACAGATTTTATAAAATTATTTTTTCTCAGTGTGTGAACTAAGTTGCTACGAGAATAGTTCGGTTTAAATATATTATGTTAAAGTAATTACGAGTTTATTTAAATTTCAAGTCTTATTCTAATTAATAGTATTCTAAGTAAGATTTGATAATATCCTGAAATGTGTAGTGATAATAATAGAATTTGAGACTACAAAATTTTTATTTAAGTCTATTATTCTATGAAGTGTTGATAATACTCTGAAGAGTTTTAGGTTTTAAAAAAAATAAAATATTTTTAACTATTATAAAAATATTTTTGAGAAAAGTGCACATTTTTTGTTCTCAAGAAAATTTTAAGTATATTCTTGACTATGGAATTTTACCATTACACACACACACACACACACACACACATATATATATATATATATATATACATACACAGGGTGATTCTAAATTGTTTTTACAAATTAAGAGGGGTGATAGTACTCGTCCAGGTGAGCAATAATTACCGTAGAACACAAGGTCGCATTCCACTCTGAGAAGCAGAAAAGAGGAATATTATAATTACAACCTGAACTTGCAACAGTGTTGCAAGTTCAAGAGCAAATGAATGAGGCCGAAAATTGCACAATCAGTTTGTAGAGCCCAGGTGGGTGAACTTCTATCTGAAACTGGAGTAGCAGGAAACTAACACAAGAGAAGGGTTAAAATACCCTTTATTAAATCTTTTGAAAATTTACAATGCGTTAACTCGACACTAACAAACTTCGCCTCTGCTTGGACGGTAACTGAAAATCACGTAATTAAACTAAAATTTGAATATATAACCTAGCCTACGGGGCTCAGCGAGGTCCTGTAAATTAAACCGCCTTCGAAGCTAGTGACAGCAGATAAATGTAATTAAGCCACAGCAATAAGCAAACGTACCTATGGCACAAACGGCCCCCTTTTCCCTCCTACCGAAGCCCACCAGCGGCCGAGCGGTAAAGTCGCTGAACACTGGTAGTTCGGTCCGAGGTTCGAATCCCGCGAACGGGTTGGCTGCATGGGTGTCGTGGTTTTCCCCATGTGTAACGTGTATACGAGCCAGTTTCCCTTAGAAAGTCCTCCACGAAAGGCATCCCTCCTCTTAGGCAGAGAGCCCTAGTGTGCTTTGCCATAATTAAATACACCACAACACCCTCCTACCGAAACTCGGCTTTTAACTACTTCCTTCAAAATAGAAAATTTGCGTTCGTTAACGCGCGCTACAACATTTACCTATTCTGGCACTGACAATTAGGGGAATGAAGACTTACAGGAAAATTTAAAATAAAATTTTAGATTATTAGTTAAAATAAATATAAATCCCTACAAGTTTAATAGAAAACTCACAGAGAGTGCACAAAACGAATAAAACCCAAAACTTTGCGTTTGAGTGTTAATTTCAGCTCAGACTTTGATGGCAAACACTCAATGCAGATCTTTGGTTCGCAAGGTCTCAAGCTCGCAAACGAGTGCAACAAGTTAATTTTCTAATCAAGGACTGAATATTATCAAGTAAGTCCAACTTCTGCTATATGCCGAGATTAGATTGAAAAGTTCATACTGTGTTCTAGCTGTCAGAACTTCGTGTTCCATAGAAAGGGCGTTTCTCTTTTCTGCCTCTCAGAGTGGAATGCGACCCTATGTTCTATGGTAATTATTGCTCATTTGGACGAGTACTATCACGCCTCTAAATTTGTAAAAACAATTTAGAATCACCCTACACCCTATATATATATATATATATATATATATATATATATATATATATATATATATATATATATATATATATATATATATATACTATAGTACCGTCCACACATGAGTATAAATGAAGAAAGAACGCGTAACGTAATGTTTGCGTAACGCTGTCTATCTCTAATTTAGTGGCACTTTGTTGTAAAAATAAATTACTGGTTATGACAGGTATAATGTGGGTACTTAAAGCAGAAGATAATGAGGGTTTTTATTCTAAATTTTTACATGACTTATTTACAGTCCTTTCATGATGAAAGCAAAGATTTTAAAAATAGTTTAATGAAACTGATTTTAAAAATATGTTAAAAGTAGATTAATGGAATTAAACTGAATAAACACTAGTAATATTTGCTAAAACAAAGTACATAACTTTGTGATTCTCTGCTGTAAGAAATAATAATTTCTAAACTGGTGCTATAATTCCAGGAAATTTCTAAAACGTGGAATAATTTTAGAGTGCTATTATTTAGAGTGCCTATAACTGCTATTAATTCTCACTTCGTTGGAATCAGTAGCACTCAGAGGGATGTGTTTAATATTACTTTGTAGAGGCATTAGGTTATTTCGAAGCAGGAGATGTGAAAAATGAGCAATGCCCTCGCCAGGAATCGAATCACGGATCTCTTGAATACGCACCGAGCGAGCAGACCACTACACTACGAAGACACTCTAATAAGGCGGGAAAAATACCTTGAATAAAAAATCTTCTAAAAAACCAGCTAATTTTGAACAAATAGTGTCCTTTTTTAAGGAAAAAAAAAAAAAAAAAAAAGAATCTGAAACGAGTATATTTCATACCTCATCGAGAAATAGAGCGTTATTCTCGGGATGGCCTACGTAAATTAAGCTCAGCGCTCATTAATGGTTTAATGATAGCACGTAACTAAAAGAGCAGTATTAAAATATAAAGAATAATAACGTATCTGTTTTCCAAATGCTGTTGTATATGAAACTGGGTAAAATTTTATCTGAAACTGAAGTTGATGTGGAAGAGTTCTGATTTTTTCCATGAGTTTGTAGAACCACTAAGTTATTTTGAAGATGGAAGCAGGAAAAATGTGCAATGCCCTTGGCGGGGCTCGAACCTGGACCTCTCAAATGCGCGCCGAGTGTGCTACCGTTATACTACGAAGGCATGCAGAAAGAAAGGAGAAAATACCTTATAAGTTGTCATTGAGATGCATCTGTTTTGCAATAATATTTATAGGAAATCAATTAAGTAGTTAAAAATTGCTTGCCTAACGTAACATTCCATTACCAAAGGCTTTAAAAAATTTACTTATTGTTTAATAATGCATCATTTGCTGAGAGAAATAAATAATTTTCACTAGAGGTGAGCAACTGAATCTTATGCTGAGAGCTTACACTAAATTAAAAAATTATTAATTTTGATCAAATTTTAGAATTTATGCAGCTTGTCATTATTCTAACGAGCGTCATCTTAGATATAACCGAAGTTCAGTTTTTCGGGATACAAACTTAAATATTTGCTAAACATCGTAATTAGGCGGCCTGCGATCCCAAAGCATTTCTCAATAATGAGCCATACAGGAGTACTAAAATCAAAGCTAAGTTACACATTAGAACTGTATCGTCATCTGTAAATGTATCTTCTATGAATATGAATACATAATCATTTAAAGAAAGTTTTAAATTATTTATTAAACGAATTAATTTTCATAGTCATATCTTTCAAATAGAATGAATTAATTAGCAATTGTATTAGTCAGTATTACTTTATCAATAGTGTTTTGAGCATATCTTGAAACTTTGAAACTTTCCTTTACAGAAGTTTGTGAATATGACGTGTCTTCAACTAGAGGAGTTGTTTCCAGCCCAAACTATCCGGACTTTTATCCAAAAAGTATGGATTGCAGATGGAAATTTGAAACTGCTCCCGGACATAGAATCAAACTGGTAGTCTGCAGCTTAACAACTAAGTTTAAGTAAACAAGTTCATAAGTTATGTACTTAAAAAGCAAACTGAATGTCTACAGTTTCGAAATACGATAATATTTAAATTTAGAAATTATTATCATTCTGTATGACTGATAGAACTTCCTGTACCGCCATTAGAGGCTTAACAGGGCTTAGTTGAGCTATTTAATTAAAGAAACATTGAGATCTAAAACAAGGCCAAAATCAGGCCCATTAAGCAGTAGAACTACCACCATACTACCTGAAATAACTTTAAATAGAATAAACAACTAAAATATGTACTTAAAGTCTAGGAGCTCGTGAGATGTACCAGCTACACCAATAAAAGCACATTATTACATACTTTGTAAAATATAACACGTTACTTACATGTATAAAAATATGTTACTTTCATATACAAAGAAATAAAATAACAGAATATCATAAATATCCTAGTTTTCCTTAAGACAGACAGGGAAATTTTAAACACAATCAATATATAAATTCATTTCATTTACAGATACATATTTTATGAAATTTGACAATTTCAATTTAGCCATGTATTTTTACTTAGATCTTTACAGTATTAAATTTCGCAATATCTGGAATAAATCTTAGAACAATATTTTTCATAGAAGAGCATTTAAACAACAGGGGCTCAATATCAACATTACTCATGCCAAATGGGCAGGTACAATTTTTTATCGAAAACCTATTATAATAAAAGGGAAAGTGTCCATGATTAGTTAAGGCTTTGTTTAAATACTTGTCACTTAGGCATCTTCTCTCACTTAAAGTTGAGATTAAATTATATGTGAATCTTCCTTTAGAATCTGAGTCGTTCCACTTTGCTTGGCATGAATCAAACTTTTTCTTTCCAACAAGGATTTCAAACTGTCAAAGGAAGTCTTTACTTCAAAATCAATAATTTGAATTTCAGTGGCAGCCTTTGCAATCTATCTGCTAACTCGTTACCAATATGACTCTTCGTCCAAAAGAGTTTAATATCTCTGAAAGCGCTAAGAAAAATGAGCCTGTCTTTTATTTGTTTAATTAGATCGTTACTTGGACAAACATCCGTAACTGAAACAATTGCGCTTTCGCAGTCAGTATAGATTTCTACAGGATCTAATGAAGAATTAGGAGTAAGCCAAGTTGCAAAGACAGGCAATATTTTGTGAGCGTAGTATTAGTTATTTATCTTACTAGTCATCAGTTTTGAGCTGTATCATTACGAGTTCTTTCTTCTAAAAGGTTGATAAATTATTTTGCTTCTCGTTAAGCCTAGAAATTGGAGAAAAACGTGCTGGATCCGAAGCTTTGTAGTCATAGGTTTGTTCATTGATTCCTAGCATTGTGCTTACTGTTCTCGTGTTCTCCGCCAGCAAATAAACATTTCGAAAACGAAGTTTTGATGACCTAGATTTTAAAATTGTAAAATCTAAAAACATGACCAGCTCTTATTAAAGAATTATTTAACAACGCTCTACAGAATTTCATTTAACATTTTTATATTTTTAGACAAATTACAGTCTTTTGTTTCACATCTCTTTCCGTGAATCCGGAAAGAAAAAAAGTTCAGCCATAGAAATATTTAAGCTATGCAATATTTAGGTACAAGAATAACGTTTTGCAATTCACGTTTTTTCTCTAAAACCCCTTTCCCATCTCGCTCTCCAGGTCCGGTTCACCAATTAGGTAGCCTAGTATTCCAACGCACCTATCCCAGCATTGATGGTAATTCTTTACATAGCTGTGGATACTTTTAAATATGTTTCTATTCACATGAGCAGCGATATTCGACTTTGGGCAATAAGGGACCATTTCAAAATGTTTTATGTCAAGACACGTACCCATTTCCTAAGATATTTGATTCAGAAACTGCTTTCTATTACTTGAGATTATTTTTATCCGAGCTTCATATCTGAATATCAATTTATTTAAAAATGAATCTGCAAAAATTTTCCAAACGCCTCTCTAAGTGCAAGTATTTCTACCCGGTTGAAAAAAACCATCAACTGTTACAAACGAATGTCTATTTTTATTTTTTACACTGCGTGGATAAGAACATAATAAATAAGTACCTAAGGCTTCTTTAGCGGCTGCTTTATGCTATTTAGGTACATGACAGGGCTATAATTAATATCGTTTATAAACTGGCAAATGTTACAGGACTTACTATTTTCAGGCATATTTCTAGGTAGTTGTTGGAAATGAATAGCTTCCCTTGCCCTCTGCACTGTTTTTCTTATCCCCAGATGGCTTGTTAAAGACAAACCGCGAAATTCGTGTAAAATAATTTATTTCAAACTCATTGGGATAACCGGCCATAAACCATTGTACTTAATTTTAATATAACAAAAATCCTTAATGATTTCAGATTTTGCAGCCTGTTAGTGAATTATCCAGAGACAGATATTTTAATTATTTTTCTACACCGCTGTCGCAATAATCTTGAAGGAAAAGAATATAAAGATTTGATTCTGGTCTGCCTTAATAACCTAAAATTCGACAAAAGATATATAAAGATAAATGTTGACTTCCCACGTATAGTACCTCCCCAAAAAACGCATAACATCTCCCCCTGTGAATCACGTCTTTATTCAGAACATTAATACTGTAGAGGCATTAGGTTATTTCGAAGTAAGAGAGATGAAAAATTAGCAATCGCCTTCGCCGGGAATCGAACCACGGATCTCTGATATACCGGCTCAGTGTGCTGACCACTACACCATGAAGGCACGCTAGGAAGTAAGGGAGAAATATCTTATATACTCCCCCCTTTTAAAGGGCGACTGGGGTTTTTAGGGGATCCAATCGCCGAATCCTGGGTGAGGAGAATCATCATCCAACACCCTTTTTAGTTCGGGTGCCACTGTAGAGACATTAGGTATTTTGTTTGAAGCAGGCAAGATGAAAAATTAGCACCGCCTTCTTCGGGAATCGAACCACGGACCTCTGGAATACCGACCCAGCGTGCAAAACCACTACACCACGAAGGCACGCTAGGAAGGTGGGAGAAATACTTTATAATGTTGTTGTATAAATTCAGATACATATTTGGTCACAAGAAACCTAGGTAACACCAGTCACGTAATGCCATTCGCAAGTTGATCGTTGAAGAACAAGGCATCTAAGGAAGTGAAATTCTGAAACATTGCCAAGGTCACTAAGTAAATTTCAACGTCATGCTTGCAGAATACTATAGGACTTGGTAGGAATGAAAATTGTCCAGCTATTTTTTAACAGAATGTGCTGCTTGGTTGTTCTATTTCACAGGTATGAAAATAAACTATTATATGAGGAAGAACGAGGACTTGCTGAAGAAAACTGTAGCGCCGAATCGGCGTAGGACGGAAAGTTACCAGATTTGTCTTGCAACCTTCATTCACTCGTGAGAGTGTAACACTATAACGAAAAGAGAAGAGAGGAAGCTTCAAAAACCGGTCTATTTATAGTCTTTTTAACCAACGTCCGTTGCCACAGCCTAAATAGAATTCGTAGTGAAAATGTGAGGGCTTAACTTCACACTGCCCTGTTCCTAATTCCCGTTATGTCACGATATTCAAAGTGATAAGAATCATTCAAATAAGAATAGATATTTTTTTATAATTCTGCATCTGCTTGCAGTTATGAAATAATTGCGTCGGTTGAAGCTAAAATGTTTGGAATCAACATGGTGTATTTTAATTTTCTTTTACCTTCATTATCTTGCTTAATCTTTGATAAGATATCCGACAATACATTTCCTTTCCTGAGAGTAAGTATAATTTTAAAATTCTGTCCTTGTAATTCAAAGACCCATCTTATGAGCTTGGGTGACAAATTCATCCGGAATGCAGACGTATGATGACGATATCAACAATATATATGGTAACAGCTTCCTTGCCGAAATAAAAGATCGTAAACGGCGAACAGAACCAAAAGGATTTTTTTTTTCGTAAATTTTGATTCTTTTAAGGTCATAAATTCTTCATTATTTCAGAAATAGGTATTTAGTATTTTTAATTTTATGAAATTCTACATACCATCTTTATAAATTTAAACTGTTGACCTAAGATCCAGAAATTTCCTAAATCCAGAGTCGTACTATATGTTGTAGAACTAATAGAGTTCTTTCTAATGGAGTCAGTTTTATTTGATTTCAAAGCATAGTTAAAAAAGAGCTTGTCTAAACTAAAAGGTGTGTGTGATAATATAAATACTTGTTAAGAATGCATAATGCCTCGAGGAATATTAAAATTATATGAGCCCAAGGTACTGAAACCTCAAAATTATTAATTAGTGAATTTTTTGCATTCTACTGAAAAATGATTCAATCTTTTCACAGGCATTCAATTTTTTCGAATTGGAACCCGGTATTAAATGCCAGTATGATAACGTAACGCTTTATGATGGGAACTCCACAGATACCCCACTGTTGGCGAAGTTCTGCGGCTCTAGTCTTCCTCATATAGTTACATCCAAAACTCATATTTTGCTCATGACATTTCATTCAGATTTATCTATAGAGAAACATGGATTCCAAGCTCTGCATTCCTCTGGTATGTTTGTTTCTTACATACATGTTGCATGTACATGCTACGAACTTTTTAATATATTTTGTCGAACATCTATAATAGGGAGCTAATGCAGTTGCAAATCGGACTTATAGTTTGTTCTAAATTTCCGTAAAAGTTTGTGTGTTTATTTTTATGACTGCTGCGATGTTTTGTACTAAGTCGAATCGTGCTGTAATGAACTTCAAGGAACAGAAGTTTGGTTCGCTATATCTGATTCAATAAGAAAATATATCATAAAATAAAAAATGGTGTCATATAAATAAAAAAATGGTGTTTTTTAAGTTCGTATGAAAAAGGATAACAAAAGATACTGAAGAATTTACCTTTAATTTTTATTTAAAATATTTACGGTTACAAAGGAAAGATTTAATACTTTTATAAAGAATATCCTTCCAAAAGACCAAAAGCAGTGACCGTCAAATGCAGACCAAAAGGCGGTCGACGAACAGAATTTGGATAGAGAACCAGCCTTCTCCCAAAAGATAAGGTCAAGCATTTCTTTCGCTTAAAAGCCAAATCAATTGTATAACCTAAACTCTTAAGATCTACTACGTTCTCTCTCCATAAATAGCCCAAATTTCCATTATCAGCCTACAATTAAGCTCTGTCTCACAATTCAGGCAAAGAATTTGCGTGGAATGAAAGAACATACTTACGTTCTTTGGTTTAATGGTCACATACGCCACATAGAAAGAACGCCATATAAATGTCCTTAGATTTGCTTATTGTGTTGCCGTTCTTCTAAATTGGATGTCATGCCTGTTTCGCAGAAAATTTGTTTAAAAATCAGAGAAAAATGGAATTGAACATAAGAGAAAAGCGACGTGGAAGCGTTTTTTTTTTTTTTTCCATTTTGTTTTAGTTTTATTTCATTATGTCAAACCACATGGGGGCTTTGCGGAGTACTTTCTAAGAGAAATTGGCTCGTATCCATATTATACATGGAGAAAATCAATGAAAACGCCTATGCAGCCAGCTTATTCACCGGAATTCGAACCCAGGTCGAAGTACCATTTTTTAGCAACTTAAACGAAGATATCCGTACAGTTCATTATACCCTATTATTTTCAAATATTTGTAGGCCTACCGGCCGAGCGGTAAAGTCGCTGAACACTGGTAGTTCGGTCCGAGGTTCGAATCCCGCGAACGGGCTGGCTGCATGGGCGTTTTCCTGGTTTTACCCATGTGTAACGTATATACGAATCAGTTCCCTTAGAAAATCCTCCACGAAGGCATCCCTTCCCTTAGGTAGTTTGCCTCATAATCACACACACACAAATATTTGTATGTTTGCTGTAGCAGTAGCAAATAACATAAAGTGTATAGCAAATTGGGACTAAAAGGCTTGTTGTTGTTCGTTATATCCAAGAATCGGTTATAAATCGAGTTCGTGATAGCGGGTCTTGACTGTATTTTATTTATTTATTGGTTTACGTTTTGCATATAGGGAGTGATTTTAAGTCGGATTTGTTATGTAATTGAATTTGTGGTCACATATTTTTGTTATAAATGTTTATTTATTCTATAGAGTAGTAAATCATACGATTTTGAATCCAACGACGTGTGGCGAAGTTGTAATTGAATTGTGGATTTCTCAATTATGGCAAAGCACAAAGGGCTATCTGCCTAAAGAGAGGGATGCCTTCGTGGAGGACTTTCTAAGGGAAACTGGCTCTTATACACGTTACACATGAGAAAAACCACGATAACGCTCATGCAGCCAGCCCGTTCGTGGGATTAGAACCTCGGACCGAACTACCAGTGTTCAGTGTCTTTACCGCTGGCCGCTGGTGGTCCATTTGAATTGTGACAAGAGAAGAACCAGAAAACAAGATATAGCAAGAACATTTATAATGTTCGATAATCTTCTTGGTTATCATGTATAAGGATTATGAATATCTTGGTTATCATGGTTATCTTGGTTATCATGGTTATCATGGTTATCATGGTTATCTTGGTTATCATGGTTATCATGGTTATCTTGGTTATCATGTATCTTCTTGGTTATCATGTAATAAGGAAGTCGAGGAGCTAGCATTACCGTGGCCACACTCTACCTTAAAAAGAATGCTTTATCTGCAAGCACTCTCAAAGTGGCAGGCTGAGTGGGACATTGTTGAGACCGGCAAACGTACTCATTATCATCTTTCGTATGTTAATACAGCCAGGCTATACTTTAACCCGCACCTGGTCCGTTATGTTACAGGCCATGGACCCTTCCCGAGTACTTTGCCAGGCACGGCATGACTGACACAGACCAGTGAAGCTGCGGTCACCTGGGTACTCCGGAGCATTACGTCACTACCTGCTCTCCGACCAACGGGATGCACATACGTATTCTCACTACAAACACACAGGCATTCTGTAAGCTCATGGTCAAACAGAAGCACCTCTGCCGGCAGCTCATCAAAATTATGGAGAAGGTAGCCAGTCTCGGCACGGACCTCTGCGCAGCAGAATAAATGACCCTGGAGTGACCATTACAGCAGGAAGTATCCTCTTTTAATGGCAAATACTGGAATACTAATCGTTAGCACTTTACAGACTATCACTACATCTTTGTCTTTATCGTGACTTGTTATTTACACAAATGCAACAATTTTACTGCCAAGGTATACCACAATTGTTTGTAATCAATCATTCATTTTCAATAATGTACTCACGTATTTGAATTAGTGATGTCTTAAGGGTTCTCTAGATCATGGTGGACGTGGTGCTATACTAATTAACCGTATGGTAGAGGCATAGTGCCCACGTCCCCCGTTCCTTATCCTTATCCTTGGTTATCATGTACTGAAGCCAAACTCTAGATAGACTGACTGTGAGATATCGTCAGAAGTTAATGACAGAGTCTTGGGAATGTTTTAAAACAAACCTTTATATTAAGTCAGAGCTTGAACATAAAATTCACTTTTCGTACTGAAAGTTCCTCCAAACAGGTGTGGCGAAGTAACATAAAATAATAGCAAGTTTGAATTTAAAATAGCTAGTTGTCAGCGAGTACACAATTCAATTGAACGAAGCTGGCTCACGACTCTAACCGGAGTAGATATTAAAATGTATATCGACAATTATAATGCAAGGCCGAAGACTACAAATCTTAATTGAGCAACCTAATAACATGGCCTTCAGAGCAGAGCACACTGTGACTTACAATCTGAAAAGCTTAAATACACGGCTTAAATACACGGGAGCTAATTTTCAATCTGGTGAACAACCGGAAGGAAAAAGTGACAGTAAAGATCCAAAACATATAATAAATTGTTACATTAGCATAATGGAACGTTACACACTCCCGACGTGCCTTCGCTACATTTGATGTTTTTCGCCAACTTTTCGATTTTCCGGAAGTTTTGAGAATACTTACCTTCGAATTTCTAGGAGCCAAATTTTTCAGAACTTTCAGAAGCCCGTTTAACACCATATACATACAGCTGTGAGAGCCAGAAGGAGTCAGTTTTCAATGAGTTCTGAGCTTTACAGACAGATTTTTTGGTCAAAGCATAAACTAAATTGCCTTTCAGAGTTTACGCTGTGAGGATCAGTATTTTACAATATTGTTCGAGTGATAATGAGGATTAACATAATAGCAGTTACATAATAATAAAAAAATCCTATAACATCGTCTTGATCCTCTCGAACATTTGGTTAACCTTCCAACACGTGCGTATGTGCAAAATTTACGGCAGATTCAATTTTTAATGCACATTTTTCGCATATCGAAGCTGAGACTTCTGAAGGTCATTTCCATTCCTCCTTTCTACCCTTCCCCACATCATGGAGTGTGCCAACAGTCAACAAGTCATTTGACTTTTTTTTAACTTCGCTTTTATGCTACGTGGTAGCTTTTTCATAAAAAGTTACGACACGCGCGTGGTCGTGTATTAAAATTCGGAAAATATTTTTTTCTGAAATATTTTGTAATTTTGTGTTATTAATTGCCGTGTATTATTTTAATTTGAATACATTTGGCTCTGTAAATTTTATATTGGTTTTCATGACAAAAAAATATTTGCAACCAGCTGATTTTGCTCGGATTCTTTAATAATTACCTGATGAAGAAAAGTAAAACAAGGAAACCTTTGGAGGAAGAACAATAGTGATTTCCATTCCTTATTTTCTTTTATTTCTACTTTTTAGAAATAAATAAAATCATTAAAGTTAGTTTAAAGTGCGTTTTTGTAATCAGAAAGAAGTAAATTTAAAAAGTAATGCTAAACTATATAACGTTGCGCGCCTCCAACTTGCACGCAACCAAGAGGTGACTGTGAAAACTTGTATAAAAGATAGAGCCTTGTGAAGGGTTTAAGTCCCTTTTTATTCAACGTAATAAATTACAATTGCGTGCTCTTGACGCTCACAGACTGTGCCAACTTGGCAGTCAAAATAAAAATAATAACCTGAAAAGAAAGTAAAGACAAGATTCTAACTACGAGGCTCTCTAAAATAACTAACTCACCGCGTTTTACAATACCGCTGCTAATTCAGCAGACTTGAAGCTCACTGGAACGATTACCACTACTTCCCGCCAAGCACATAGGCCGAAACGCGGGGTCCTTCAAATTCTCGCTAACTACCTCCGCGCTCGCTAAGTAAGAAAATCACACCGAACTCGTTCCCTTCTATTTAAATCAGAATACTTCCGCTGATAATTTGAATGCTTGCGCGTTCTACTCAAATTTACATATTCTGGCATTGGCAGTTCCAGGGGAAAGTAAGACTTGACAGGAAAGATAGTTTAAACTTAAAATAAATGTTAGTTAAAATAAATATAAACCCTACATTTGCCGCTGCTAGAATTTGGAAAACTTGGAAGCAGGTCCTACAAACGACCTGTTGTAAGTTTATCTAATTCTGAACTAACTGGCGAGAACCTCGTTTACACAAAAAAATCTTATGTAACAATTATATACTAAAATTCTGTTGCTCGTTATAACTTTCTTCTTACAGCAACTTTTCCTGGACTTCATCAATCAATCTTGGTCTTTCCTTCCAGCATCTGGAGGAATAAGTATCAGTATCTTTCTAAATACATTATAATTTACACTTTCTTGACACAATAAATTTTTGTTTTTAAACGATTCGTTTTTCTTAGTTATTGCTTACTTCACATTCATTCAATTTTTCAAGCATTAATTTAACTTTACCCTGGCTCTCCACCGTGTGTGGTGTCAAACGGGAATATTCGTGTTTTAGTCTTACAACACTTCCCCTAACCACCATGATTTGTTAGAATTCAACGACCAAATAGACACACCTTACTCGACATTCTACCACTCAATGAGCTACTTTAATAGTCTTAACAATTCAAATGTAGGTGGAGAACCCTACAAAACACATTCATTCTAACTTCCCCCTCATTCATCTTTAAACATGCAGGCTTTCGCTCTAAAGCATGACTTTACAGTTTAATACTTAAATTTTGACTTCATTGCTTTTAAGCATTCACTTTTAGCATCTACAATTTTATGCTTCTAGACTAAATTCTACTTTTACGTAACCTTCAAGTATTTACATACATTTACAAATTTTTAATACATATGCTTTTTACAATTTACCATAAAATGAATAAGAGAAAATAAATTTTACTTTACTCATTCTTCGCCAAGCTGAGAGCACTGAAACTAAAATTCTTATTAATACAAGAATACGAAGTTATTTTTATCTTCGGCCAAATTTTGGCTTTAACATAACAGAATTAGTCTTTCGACCAACAGAAAATGCTTGTTTTTAGCTTTTACACTTAAAGAAAATAATACTTTTGCCTTAGCTAAATAAAGTAAAACAAAACTAAGTCTCAACCGAGACATATTGACTTTCGTCAAAACATAGAACTTCGTACTTATGCATAACATTTCGGAACAAAAGAGAAAAAAAATTTATAGAAGGTTTTAACTTATCTTTGAGTTTTCGATGCTTGAAACTCCGTCATCCGTTTTTGGCAGAATTGATCCCAAGTTAGAGGTTTCATGGATGTCAATCTTCTCCTTATTGATCTCCGAGTGTCGTCCACGTTGCTTTTTCTTTTGCGTCCTCTACATGCTGGCCTCTTGGACGGAGTAATCGTCTGTCTGGTTGTTGGCCTTTTCCGTTTCTGCCTGGGACGGCTGGTCTTGACGTCCTCCGGTCTGGAGTCCTTCTTGAATTTCTTCTGTTCCTCGTATTTTTGTGCCTCCTGTTGGCCGTTTCAGTTTCCGGAACGGCGGCCTTGCTGGCACCTGACTCTGTGGCCGTGTGCGCGTTCTCCTTGATGTGTAATTTCTCCTGCTATTCTTTGTAGGTGGTGTTTTTTCTCTTTACCACGGTTTCTTTACCCGGTTGCATCTGTATTTTTGTTTTTCTTAAACGCCGGAGTTTGAAAATCATTTTTTCTTTTTGATACCGACGTCCGGGTTGTAGAAGTGCTAGGTCTCTCTTCAGTTCTCTGTTTCTTGGGTGGTGGAATAGTTGTTGTAGTCTCTGGACCTTCTATTTCGTTTAGACTTGAGTCCTGCAAGAAACTTTTAAGGATTTCAAAATCATTTGGATTATAG